TTTCTATCAATTATGAAGGAAAAAACAAAATAGCATCCAACAATGGAACAAAGACCAAGCAAAATCGATGATTAACAAAATAATATCTTGGAATGTTCGAGATTTAAATTATTCAAAGAAGAGAAATATCATCAAGGGATGCACAAATCGATGGAAACCGGATTTGATTTATCTACAAGAAACCAAAATGGCATTCATTAACAAAATTACGGTCAATAGTGCGTGGGGCTTACAAGATACCGATTGGCTCTATCTTCTGACAGACAAGACTGCTGGTGGTATCCTTATTTATTGGAAATCAGACATATTAGCATGTACTGACTACATAAAAGGTAAAATATCTATCTCTTACTTATTTGTAAACAAGAAAAACAAAGAAAAATGGTCTTTCTTTGGAATCTATTACCGGGGGAATGCATCGCACAGAGAAAAATTATGAAATGAGCTACTCCAGTGTCAAGTCAGATAGGGGGTAAATAGAGTGGTGGGTGGTGATTTCAACATGATCATGCACCGAAACGAACGATTGGGAAAAAATTCTCTGCTTCTGTGGCCCAAAATTTCAAAGATAATATCAACAGCCTTGGGGTAGAAGACATTCCTCCCAAAGGTGGAAAATGAACATGGGCCGACTAGAGAGACAAGCCTCCTTTCTCCAGAATTGACAGATTCTTGATCTCCACCAATTTTCTTTTGTCTATTCCAGGCCTCAATCAAAAGGTACTTCCTCGTCCTATTTCTGATCATTTTCCTATATGCCTAACTTTTAATGGGATCAAATGGGGACCCAGCACATTTCGTTTTGACAATAAATGGTTACTAGTGAATAACTTTAAGTCCATGGTCAATATGACATAGAATCATCAGTTTAAAAGAGGCACGACAAGTTTCAAACTATCTAAAAAGCTTATCAGACTCAAACAGAATATAAAACCCTAGACTAAGGAAGTTGGTTTGAAAGAAGAAAACAGAACAAACGACTTGTTGAACGAATTGGCTAAAATGGATTTTCTGGCAAGTGAATTCGAGCTACTCCCTAAACAAAACGAAAAAAGGAATAGCCTACGTGAGGAACTCACTAACAGACTTCATATGGAAGATGTATCCTGGAAACAGAAAGCCCGAGATAAATGGATTAGGGATGGAGAGAAGAACACAAAGTTCTTTCAATGTTTGCGAATCATAGAAGAAGATTAAATTATGTGGAGGAATTTTCTGTCAACGGTTGCTAAGTCAGCGGTAATGAGGCCATAAGGGAAGCTGCAAAAAACCACTTCAAATCCTTATATACAAAATCTATTGAACAAAGGCTGAAACTCAACAACATCCACTTCAACTAGATAAACAACGCTGATAGATCAATCCTAGAATCTGAATTCTCGGAAAAAGAAATTTTTGACTGTTTAAAAGATTGAGGGTGACAAAGCACCTGGACCTGACGGTTTCAACCTAAAATTCTTCCAAGAATTCTGGTATATGCTAAAAAATGGTGTTCTTGATTTCTTCAATGATTTTTACAAGAATGGCTATTTTGTTAAATCGATCAACTCCACTTTCCTTGTCCTAATCCTTAAGAAAGAAGGGACTACCTGTTTTGCCGATTTTAGACCAATAAGTTTAGTGGGCAGCTTTTACGAATTGTTTTCAAAGGTGTTGGCTAAAAGACTCTCTAAAGTTTTAAAATCTATCATCGGGGATTGTCAACATATTTTTGTTGAAGGGAGACAAATTTCTGATACTATTTTGATTGCAAACGAAATGGTTGACGATCTTAACAAAAATAAAAGAAGAGAGTTGTTGTGTAAATTAGATATGGAGAAGGCTTTCGACAATGTTAATTGGGACTTTATTGACTATATGCTCAAGCGTTTTTGGATTCGGCTTAAAATGGTACAAATTGATTAAAACTTGCATCTCTACAACTAGTTTTACTGTCATGGTCAATGGTTGCCCTTCCTCATTTTTTAATGCTTCAAGAAGGTTGCGCCAAGGCGACCCGTTGTCTCCGTTACTCTTCATCATGGTTATGGAAGCTTTAAACAACCTTATTGAGCAAGCAAGAAACTTGAATATGATCAGAAGAATCAACATGGTTAAAGAGGAAAATCTTGAGATCACTCATCTATTCTTTGCTGATGAAACCCTAATTTTCTGTCCACCTGAAATTAACATGCTGCTTAATCTTAAATGTATTCTTCTGCGCTTTCATGTTGTTTCGGGTTTAAAGATCAACATGTCAAAATCTGAGATGGTGGGTTTTGGGATCAACAATGATGTGGATCCTCTGTCTTCGGTTTTGAAATGCAAAACAACTTTGCTTTCCATAAAATACCTTGGGGTCTCCCATGGTGCGAAACATAAAGATTCTAAAAGTTGGGAGCCAATTATGGATATCTTTGATAAACACCTTTCTGGTTGGAAGAGAAATTTCTTGTCAAAGGGAGGGAGATTGACATTGATCAAAAGCACCTTATCAAACCTCCCAACATACTATCGTTCTGTCCTAACTATCCTTACAAATGTTGCCAAAATTCTCAAAAGAATACAATGCAGATGAGGAAAACAAGAAAAAAATCCATCTTATAAATTGGGAGGAGGTGAAGACTCCCATCAGCTCTGGAGGCCTCGGGTTGAGATCTATAAGGACTTTAAATAAAGTCTTGCATGGAAAATGGGCATGGAGATATTGAAATGATTCTAATAGCTTGTGAAAAAAAGTTGTGGACTGCAAATGGAATATGAAGGGTTGTCTAAACCAGAATCTGTTGAACCGCAGTAATCATGGAATGAACTTATGGAAGAGTATCTCTAGTATGGAAAAAGTTATTATGAAACGCTCTAAATGGGAAGTGGGCAGAGGAAATAAAATCCAATTCTGGTCGGACATTTGGTGTGGAAACAAAAATATGCAATCACGTTTCCTCTCATTTATGCTTTGGCCAAGATAAACTTATGTGCATTGAGCATGCGGTTGACAATAGCACAGGCAACTATTGGAATATCGTGTTGAACGGGAATTTAAACGATTGAAAAATAGAGGAATTTGATAACTTGATGGCTATGCTAGAATCTATAAGAATTAGTGATAAAGATGACAAGCTGATATGGTTTTTGAACAAAAGTGGCTCTTTTAGCATCAAATTTTTCTATAACCATATTGCCGGCCAAAACAGCAGACCCCCAAGAATCTCCTTCTTTGCTTAGGAAGCCTCTAAAAACCGTATCCTTACCATCGATAATCTCATGAAAAGAGGCACTACTCTAACAAACAGATACTATTTGTGCAAGAGCAATTCAAAATCATGTAACCATTTGTTGCTTTGGTGTCCTACCACTTCTTCTCTGTGGTCCATGGTCTACAGTCTTCTTGGCATTCTTTGGGTTGCAGCTGGTCTTGTCAAAAAGGAATTACTTGCTTGGGAAATGATATGCAGAAAGAATAAAAAATTCAGACTCATCCCTCTTACTATTTTCTGGGTAATTTGGAAAAAAAGGAACAACAGAGCTTTTGAAGGAAAGAAAAACACCTTTAGCAATATTTTGAGCAAATGGCTCCATATCTTTGGTTCTATTGTGTCAGATCATAGTATTACCCATTCTGATGATTTGCGATCAATTGTAAATATATTAATTGACTTGTAAATCTTTTTGTACATAGGTTTGGCGCCCTATATTAATATATTTCTACATATAACACCTCTCTCATAATAGGCCTTCCTAATTGAGATTCAATCCCATAGAATAAGAGACCTTTGGGTCAAAAGAAAAAAATAATAATAAATATAGAAACATCTCTTTTCTTACTAGCTAAATTTTTAGGAAAAATTGGTATTCCAAACCAATTGTTGCATAACTTTATCCGCTAATACATCTGAACTAATATTCAGGAAACTCACCTTCCTGGGGACTAAAGATGAAATAAGGTATGAGGTGATACCCAGCTTGAACAATTTTAGGAAGATCCCTCGCCTGCATTTATATAAAGTAAAAATAATGAGAATAGACCAACCAAAAATTTTGAAAGATCAAAAGTGAATTACTTAATAAGTATTAGTGTATCTTTTGAACATCAATCTTGTCATTGAGACCATAATTATTTTTTTGCTTAAAGGGAACATAAGAAAATCATTATTGAACCCCAAAAATTAGTAACTTTGCAAAACTAGATTTCTCAAAATGTTTAATTTCCTATTATATGGTAAATGTATGACGAAAAAGAGAACTTTTTTAACTATTACGCACTAAAAGTCTATAATGAGCAACAAGGATACCAGTGAAATCTATTATAAGTGGAGGAAACAAATAAATAAATATGCAGTAATGTACTCCTAATTACTGAAACGTATGATTCACATAGTTTAATAGTGAACCATCCAGATATTACATTTTACTATAATGTATGAAAGAATATACATACATATATATAAAAGTAAGGTTGACAAGGCCATAACTTACACAAATTGTTCTACCCAAGCCACCCCCAAATTCTAGGACCTTTAGGAAAATATTTTAAGTCATGTGCATCTACCATTTCACCACCAAGACATTTTGAAAGTGAATTGTATTTCATGAATATGATATCTATCTAGTGTGATATATAAAATATATAACAAAGATAGAGTGTTGGAACATTTCTATTAATCAATCATGTCACATAGGCCAAAGTCAGACATCCAATTGCTTCGATTTGAGTTATCCAAATAATGTCTTATAACATTAATTATCAAAAAGATGAATAATGAAACCTATTTATCAATTCAATAGAAGCCCAAACAGATGAATAACATCCCAATAATGAGAGATATGTAAAAAGTGAGTCCATTTACGCCTATTCCTAATCCTAAATAGAATATAACAACATAATGATCTATATGTAGACATATATCTATCTAGATACACTTGAATGACTTTTTCTCATAATGAAAATGTATATAACCTTATTCTAATCTGGTGAACTATGGAATGCACTTATAATTATGGAATCGACTCAATCATCATATTATAGAATATAGTTCATACCCTCAACCCATTCTCATTTTAAGTAGAACCAATCTACTAATTCTTAATTCCGGTTAGTATAAGTAAGAGGGATCATGAACTAAGAAATAGATTCTAAGAGTTAACTATAAAAAAATTATTCAATCTGGTGAACTCTATGATTGTTGGAAACCAGCCCCAATGGTTCTCTTTCTTCTCTTACCAAAAGCTCCATCAACTTCCTAGTTTTATGCAAAAAGCAGCTGCTGCTCTACCCAAATCTAGAATCTCCAGAAAAACTAACATCTATATGCATAAGTTTATGTTTCACTCTTCAATCCATTTTATTAATTTACACAAATTTTCTATTACTGCCACTAAACATACCTCTAACCAAAAGCCTTACTATTTGTACCACAAACCATGCTATAGTAAGCTCTCCTTTACTAACTATAGAAATGAACAGTAAAAAAGTATATGTTCAGCTCGAGCAAAATGTAACTTATGTTAAACATTAAGGCTCTCTACATGAAGCACTCTCTAAAATTTTCCAGGGTTGATGTACCTAAATAAATGTATCTCAAATAAGAACCGTTGCTCCAAATTTATGCATCACTACTTCTGGAGCCTCCACATGAGTGACACTCCATTAATCATCTCCTCCTTTGGTGCGTTCAGGTTAGAAGTTATGCAATTTCTCTTTGTCCTTACTTAACCTTTCCTAGGTGATTAGTGGTTGGATTGCGACTGAATTATTGCCTTGGCATGGGATTGAAGCATACAAGTAGATGAGAAAGATTGTCTCCCTTCTTTCTCCTGGCGATCATGTGGAATCATTTGGAAGGAAAGTAACATAAGTTCTTTTTATGGCATTGTATCTTCTTTTGCTTGTTTCGCTAGCATGGGAGATCAGTGGTTCCAGAACTTGACTAATTCGTTTAATGATCAGCCTCTGCTACATGAAGAGGATTTAGGCAACCTTGTGAATGTTTTGTTTTCTTGAGTTTTATACAGTTAATGTATTTAGGTGGCACCCCCCTGGTGCCTTGTTAATATGCTTTACTCCTTTTTCATGAACTCCACTAAAAGTTTGTAGGGCCAAAGGCAAGAAAAAATGCATACTAAAATGTTTAATCAGCTAAAGTTACCCGCAGTGGAAACTACCTATATAGAAGTATTAAATGCAGATCAGTTTGACAAATACCAAAGTCCAGTAGATCAACAAGTCCAAATTTTTATCCATAGACGCAATGAGAGTGAAAGAATATTATGATTTAGTTCACATATAAAATCAAAACATTCGACATGCTGCAATCTTTTAAAACGAAGTTGGTCATTTTCTGAAATTTATTCAATAAAATCTCTGGGCCTTTCTAGCTACCTCCAGAAAACCACTGCCTAGCTTCATGCTGGAAACTTCCTTGAGGAGTAATTGCAGTAATCATACATATTTTTGCAACATTCATTCACATTAGGCAAATTAAAGGGGATTGTAAGTCATGAATAGACACCTATGTTTTCAGGAAAATAAGTCAAAAGATAATAAGGGACTTACAACATTTGTCTGGACTATTCCAGGTGATACACATAAAACACTAATGCCAGCTTCAGCAGGAAGTCGTCTATGGAGGACACTGCTAAACATAACCTGCAATTCAAGGGGCACAACAAACTCTAAGTTATTATAGATAACTTTACTAGCATGTGATAAGATACCTATTTATTTTTCATAACTCAGAGCTCTGCAGCCCAATAATCCTAGAAATCACTGAAATAAGCATAATCGATTAGCTAAGGATATGTGTTAGAGAGCAAGTGACAAGGAGAGAAATAAGTCTTAAAGAGAGAGAGATAGTGTAAGCTAGGGAGGCCGGCCCTTCTGTTCTAGCCTTCTTCCTTTGGCCAGACTGGCTAGCCAAAGCAACTGTGCCGGTTGTTTCACAAAGAACATTTCTAGCTTCAGAGAAAAACAATAATTGTAAAAGACTTCTTTAGTATGAATCTTTCCACTTTAAGATCTTTCCATCCAATAATGGAACCAAGCTACTGAAGATCCACTTCCTCATGCAAATCAGTTATTCCCACCCAAAATGAACCACTTTTTGATTTTAACCTGTCCAAAAACATAATCCATTTTTTGAAGACAAGAAGACATACTTTAAAAGTTTCAGTATAAGCCAATTAGCCAAATGTACCATCAAAAATAGCATATTATAATATAAACTGGAAAGATGTACTTAAATAAATTTATTTAAAATATTTCAAAAAGAAAATATAAAGATTAAAAGGGTAACAATAGGACACAAATTACCTTTCTTTTCTTTAAACAAGAAGGATTAACTTTTGTTAAAAACTGAGCTTTTCAGATCACAAAAAGAATAAGATATAAGTAAAAGTGTTTCATATAAAAGCAAATATGGAATGATAAATGACACTTTTTCAAATATGAAGTCATATCTACTGATGTAGTGCTTCCTCCATCTCTACCAGCAGTAGAACATTAGAACTTGAGAGATTATGAAATCTCTGTATTTGTAAGAAATGAGATACTCAATGTCAAAGTGCCTATAACTTGCATATTGCTAGTCACGTATACCCAAACAGGGATATTCCTAGCAAATCGAGAGACAACATAGTGAAAACAAGTTTATAAGAAGAATGCCCCAGACAAAAGCCCTTGAATTATGCGCTTTTATATTACTGAAGAAACCATATGAACGCAGCCAATAATGCAAACACAACCTGGACTGAAGCCCTCGAATTTTCTTTTGATAACTTACCTTTAGCTATATATGAATCACAACTGGACCGAAGTGGGTTTTGGAAAAGAAGAATTTTACACTCATCCAAAGTACTAAAAGAGTTTTCAAATTTGTATTGGAAATGAATTCCTAAACAAACTGGAAGCAAATTTCCAGGAAAGCCTTTCCCTGATTCACCTGTGCTAACTTGCTGCTTGAATATCCCAACATGCTTGTATACTTTTTTTTCCCAGACACAACATTCATGTCTTCTGTGTCAACAAAACCAACATAGTGCATCTACAAGAAGAAAAAGAAGACATCATGAGATGTGCTATTGAATGGGATTAGCATGACAAGAACCACATGTAAAACAAAGTTCTGATACTATAGCACATAGAAATAATATCCACCACCTTTCTTTCTGAATGGAAAAGCAAACTGATTCAATTAAAGATATGGCTATGTAGAGACTTGCTGTTCATGTGGGGATGTGGGCTTTGTGCTCAGAATGTAATGTAAGAATTTTCCAACAAGGCTTTAGTAATAGACATATTATTGCCTCGTTAAGTGTGGGTCAAATCTCATTGCATTTTGGAGGGTTTCTTTGTATCTCTGGCAATGAGACTGGGTTACTGACACACAGCCCAATAAGGTTTAGAAAAATAGAAAAAGAAAAAAAAAATCCAATCTAAAGTCACAGGACTATGAGGTACTCAATCAATATGGGAACAGCAATAAGTTTCATAAGCAGTTATCTACAGTAACATTGGATCACCAATGTAGCTAAAGGGTGTCAAACAACCTGATATATAAGGCACCCTTTAGCTATTCCTGCTGGCAAACCTGGTTGGTCCTTTTATGGAGGCCTCCAGTTTTGACATCCTCCCTCTAGCATCTTTGGAGATCCATGAGATAAAAGGGAGACTGCTTCTACGGGCTGAGAATAGCCATTTGAGTGAGCTGGGAGTAGTCAGAACTGCTGGAAAGGAAGAATCAGTTGTGAATGATGAAGATTTCACTGACAAGGATAGTGCATCGGAATGGGTTATGAGCGATCTTTCCAGGTGTAAGTTTTAAAGGATATAAAGAGATGGCTACTAACCTTTTTAGGCAATTGAACTAAACAGAGGCCATCAGGTTACAGCAAATGGGTAGCTAAAACACCTAAGGACCAAAGCAAACAGAAAGTCAGCAGGAACAGTACTAAGGAACTTAAGAGATTGTAGCATCCTATAAATTATGAAAAAGGGAATATAATTGTTAAGGGGCTAGAGGTGCTTCTGCCTCTGAAATACCTGTCTAAATTATGTTTGAAAAAGATTAATTCTTGTAATGTGTGTGATAGTAATGAGACAAACAAAAGGGCAATTATCAAAGGTTGTCTTGTTAAATGGAAGCAGAATATAGTGTGTCTTCTCGAAACGAAAATGGAATGTATGCCTAATTCTCTAAAGCATGTGTTGCCGAAAAGTAGGGAGTTCAGATGGCGTGACTCCTGGTTGGGGCAGCTGGTGGAATTTCTGTTTTGTGGGATAATTGAAATATTGAGATGGTAAATTGGCAGAGGGGTGAATGCTTGATTACTTATATTGTTAAAATCAAAGCTTTGGCATGGTGTTACTTGTTTTGCAAGGTGTATGATAAATGGAAGGCCAGTAAGAGGAGGGCTCTATGGAATGACCTAGAAGCTGTAGGAGAAGATGTGATATCGTCGGGTGATTGGTGGATATTTCCTATACAGACATGCACGAACAGTGATCATGTCTCTTGTGCGTTTGCAAATGAATTTTTTAAGGTAATTTTGATTTGTACAACCTTCAAAATAAGTCACAAGGTAACAAAGAGAACAAGAAAGAGAAGTTTTTTCCTTCTATTATCAACTTGAATACAATGCCAAGCCTTTAGCTCTTCCAAAATGAACCTGACTATGACCTACTAGAATTAAGTTCAAAGTGGTGCACCACAAGCAAAAGGAGAAAGATCAGCAGAAAAGCAAGATGATCTGGGGTCTCAGCCACTCTCTTGGAAAGGTAAGAGCCATTTACCAAATCCTTTCCCTCTTCCTAAGAATGTCAATAGTTAGAATGTGCTGGTGACAAGAAATCATTGGGGCACATCTTTTATTTGCAGACAATACTTTCATTTTTTGTCAATCGGAGGAGGAAATAGTGATGAATTTGAGAGGTGTTTTCTCATGCTTTCAAGTTGTGTCAGACCTTAACATCAACTTGGAAAAGTCCAAAATGGTTAGAAATGGGAAGCGCCGCGATGACGATTTCTTTGACGGTTTGATGGGGTGTAGAACGGTCAAACTCCCTCTAAAATATTTGGATGTTCCACTAGGTGCAAGGCACAAAGATAGTGGGATTTGGGATCCGGTGATAGAGCTCTTTAAGAGAAGATTGGCTAGTTGGAAACGGAACTTGTTAAAAGCACTCTATCTAACATCCTCATATATTATTTACCGGCTCTCACAATTCAGGTAAAGGTCGCAAAAAAATTGGAAATAATTCAATATCGGTTCCTTTGGGGGGATGATGATGATAGAAAGAGATATCACTTGGTAAAATGGATGGAGGTTAAAAAACCATTGGAGCAGGAGGTTTTGGGTATTCGATCCTTGGTGGAGATGCATTGGGCTTTACACGGTAAATGGCTTTGGAGATATCTTAGTGAGGAGGATAGGATGTGGACAAGGATTGTGGAGGTGAGGTGGGGTAGTTGGAATGGTAGAGGCTGTTGTGAAGGAGTGGGGGGAACATATGGTACTGGGTTATGGAGAAAAATCAGCTTGGATGGCTACTTGGAGTGAATGTATTAAATGGAAGCTTGGTAGGGGAAACAAGAATTCATTTTTGGTTGGATGAGTGAGCTGATGACGGACAGCTTAGGGACAGATTTGCTGTTGCACCAGAGAAAGATATTTCTGTGGAGGAGGCTTCTGGGCTAGGAAGGAGTGGCGGTAGTTGGAGTGGTGGTGACAAGAAGTCTTAATGATTGGGAGGTAGAGGAATATGAAAATTTTCTCCTCTTACTGTCCAAGGTGAATGTTACAACTGAAAAAGACAATCTGATTTGGAAACTCAAGAAAAACGGGTAGTTTTCTGTAAAATCCTACTATGAGTTCTTTATGGGGATGGATGGTATTAGTCCGTTTTCTTCCCCGTCAAGCAGATCTGGAAGATTCAGCCTCTGTCTAAGATTGTTTTTTTTTTGCTTGGAAGGCCAGCAGGAATTGTATTTTGATTATTGACAACTTGAAGAAAAGACGAAAAGTGTTGGTTAACAGTTGCTACATGTGTAAACGCCAGGCTGAAACGTGCAGCCATTTACTGCTTTTTTGTCCGGCTGTCCAGCATATTTGGTCTATGATCTATGGTCTTTTAGGGGTGAGTTGAGTCATGACTAGTTCGATTAGGAAGGAGATTTGGGCATGGGAGGGAATAAGTAAAAAGGAAAAATTTATTAGTTTCGTCTCTTTGACTATTTTTTGGGTTATTTGAAAAGAAAAAATAAGAGGGCTTTTGATGGTATTGATAGTGAAATTTTAAAGATTTGAGATAGAAGATTCCGTTTGTTCGGATCTTTATTGCTTGGGCATGATTTGTATAGGGTGGAAGATTTTGGGTATATGATTGGTTGTTTTACTAACATGTAAATACTTTTATACATGGGTTGCACCCTCTTGGTGTTTTGTTAATATATTTATACATTTTATTTCAAAAAAAAAGTTAGAATCTTTCCTCTCACAACTTTCAAAGCAAAAAAAGTATTCTAGGCAAAATATTGCTCTCTTAGATTTGTTTCCAAGTAAGGCCACAATGATAAGTAAGGGGGATGGTCAAGGTGCAAGTGAAAAAAATCATGCTGAAGGATCCATTACCACCCAGCTTCCTCACTAACAAGTCCCTCCCCATGAGGTCCACCATGCAAAGAGAGAACTTATTGAAGAGGTTACAATATTTATCTTCTTCCTTATCATTCAAATTTCTCAATAGCTTAACATCCCAAACCACATGATCAGTGGACAGAGAGAAGTATTCACACACCATTGCTTCCAAATTTCTAGCCTAGGAAGTGCATCTACAAAGGACAAACTTATCCTCTGACCAAAATTAACCTTCATCCCAATTGATCTTTGCCATAAATCTGTTCCATAGAAATCTCTGGATCTTTTGGCTCTCTACTTTCCCTCATCAAGTGATGTGAGCATGGATAGCTTGGACTATTCCAGCAACCAACCAAGTCAAAAAAAGAAACAACCCTTAAAGAAGTTGAAATCCCATAGGAAATCTCTCCCCACCCATGAGAGACTGTTTCCACTCAAGAGAGATTTTTATCTGTAGAAGGAAAGTTTCTTTTTCCACTCCATATCTTTCTCAAGTGGCAAAAAAGAAACCATGATCAAGGAATTTCAGAAATCCATCAAGGAAGAATCAAGATCATATCTTTACAAGTCTTCAAGTCAAGATCGTATCTTCCTAAAAGAGCATATTCGCATATAGAAAAAATTAAGGGAGATCATAGATGGATTTTAAACATTTATCACAAGATCATGAATGGATTTACTTTTCTAAAGAATCCAAAGATCTTTATTAAATTAAGATATTTTCAAAAAAATTTCTTTAAATTACTACATTTTCCTAAATCAATCAATCTTTTAAGAAAAAAGGAAACTAAATCTCCAACCTTTAAAAGAAAATATCTCTACAATTAATTACGATATTCTCCATTTAAAAAAGTTTCCTCATAGGGAGATCATATTTATTCTATTTTATAACACAATCATTTTAATTGTTGCAAATTTCCTATTTTATTCTAAATTTATTTTTCTATATAGTTTTGCAATTAATTTTTTACATTATTTTTCTTATTATTCACATGACTTGTACTATAACTAGACCATCAATTCCCAGTTGTATTAATTCAAGTTTTGATAATAATAAAATTACAAAATTTTAGTTTCAACTAGTGAAGTTTTCAACCTTCTTGTTAAGTGGGGAATTGATATTTACTTATTAAAATAACTTGTAATGTTTTCATCAATCTCTTTCTTGAACTAATTTTAACTTATCAAAGTTTTCTTTGTGGCGTTCTAATTAATTCATTTATCCCTATTACCTTGGTTTGTATTCACTTGTTTAGTGCGGGTCAAGTAAGGAGGGTTTATTTAGGGTTTTTAGTTTCTGATTGTTGATGTATCTATGGAGTTTTGGATTAAGTTGTTAATCCCGGCTTCGGCATCATCAAACCTATACTTGGCTCTTATCTTCCACCAAAAGTTACTCTCAAACAAGTTAAATCTCCATAACTATTTTTTTATAGTAAGTAAATCAACAGATTTGTCATATCAAGACCACTATGCCATAATGTGGTGTTGGAATGTCATGTAAATTAAAAGTGACAAAAATATAACTACCAAATATGGGGGGAAAATCTAACCTAACAGATTTTGGTGACTTCATTAACTTCTGGTGCAAACTAATAGACTGCCATGCTAGCGCCCTTCATGCTTAGGTAAGGCAAATCTACCAACTTTTGCATTCGAAGAGTCAAGAAAGTCCTCAGATAATAGTATTTGTAGAAGTCAATAGTTAAACTGCAATAAACTGCCGTTGAAGGATTAAAGTGAGATCTAGATGAACGTTCTGGGGCTAAAAACAGTATTGTTCGCAAATCAGAATAATCAACCTCCAAAGGGTTGCCACAAGACTATCTCATTTTTCTCCTAAATAAATTAGGCATAAATTCTGCTGTCAATGGGAACTCTTTCCATTGGATTGCCAGCTAATTCCATGTTCATTATCCATCAAATTTTTGGAAAAAAAATTATAACATTATGAACAAGAAACATCAATGAGAGATTATAGGGATAATGCAAAAAATAAAATTTATATTATAATGACAGAACCAGGTGCAATCACCATTGAACTTACCACAGAATTCACATTAATAATTCTGCTGGGGGAGCCTCTGATAAGGGATGGAAAAAGAAGCACTGAAAGCAATGCTGGAGCCAAATGATTTACTTGCATGTGTTCTTCATATCCATCCTTGGAAAACTTTTGTGGTTCTGAAAGTCACATGACAGATGATAAGTTGCAAGAAATAATGGGATGGAAAAAAAAAAATTTAATGATAAAATTGATAAAAATTGCGAAAAACAACTTTTCTGCTATTGTCATAAATTGTAAAATAGTATCAAAAATACAAGATTTTTGAAATAAATGTTGACAAATTTGTGATAAGACACTAAAATCTGAACCATATCACATTCAGTAACACTCAGCTTTCAAATACTAAACATTTTAAACAGCTAACATTTTGCTACTAATTGTGTCTATAAGCATGCAACACATCTTTTTGTGAAAGAAATGACAGGAAGAGGCGACTAGCAAGGCTACTTCAGCACTATCATTTTAGTACTCCTTTACTGTTAAAATTTTCTGCCTAAATTATAGTTACTGCTGTTTGAGCAACCCATTACCCCTGACTGAATGGAAAATAAGAGGCCAGATTAGCCTTCCAAACAGGACCCAAGTTAAGGAATGCGCAGGGCTACCGTTCTAGACCGACAATCAACAGACTAAGAATTGGTAACCAGAATGGTACCCTTTTCGTGGTGAGGTTTATAAATGGTTCACTCATTGGAAGAAGAAGAAGAATTAGTAATTTAGTAGTCATAACAGATTGTTGTGTTTATTTTGTGTTTACTTTTAGTTAAGATCGTATTTGTGGATAAAAACGATTTATGATAATTATGTGGTCTAGTGATGGCCACAGAGCATGTATGTGGCAGGTATGCACTCGCCCCCAAAAGAAAAAACTTATATCCTTACCTGTCCCGTAGCTGGACTGGATTTAAATCTAATTATCATCCACATTGTACGGATAATTTCTTATACCACCACTCAACTCGATACCATCTATTTAACTATCCCACAGCCTCCATCCTCCCAAGCCCACCATGCTTTCCCTTTTTTTTTACTTCAGAAATTAAAAAAAATTGATAACTTCTTATAATCCAACAACATTCAAATTAATAGTTAGCAAAGAAAATCTAAATTAATATTTAAACATGTTGCTAATCAAAATAATGTAATCAAACTTAATAATTATACATTGTGATAACACAACATGTTAACTGTAATTTCTGAATTCATAAATACTAAGGGTGCAGCACGGGCACATGTATCATTCATATTTGCCCAGGTAGCAAATATTTTGTTCTTTCACCCACATCTGCCCTGCAGCTCTATATTTACCCATTTACTTGCTCCTAATGAAGTGGGCAGGAACAGGTTAACAAGTAACCCACTCTACTGGCCATCCCAGTGGTCTAATTCAACAAAATAGTTATTTAGGTTGAATCGGACCTAGAAAGTTAATTGTTGGCCATCCCAGTGGTCTAATTCAACAAAATAGTTATTTAGGAAATTGAGTAATTGAATTTGACCTGGTTAGTTAATTGTTTGAATTTTTTGTTATTCAAGCAATAGCTCTTACCCAAGGAAAACAATTATACTGGAGAGTTGACTTTCTTCTTTTGTACTGCATATAATGCTGTTTTCAAGAAAGACAAAGAATACAGATGCATTTTCAGATTAAGTTTGAGCATTTCTTTTTCAAAAGAAGTTTACGTTCTCCCTTCCTTTTTTTTAAATAAAAATTGTATTAATATTGGTACCAATGAGGTACGATCCATTTATAGATTATTTACAATTTTATTAGGTTATCTAATATGTTCCCTAACTCTCCAAAAGATCGGATGGAGTGATTCAACAACAAAAAACCAAGGGTTTGGAACCATCTATTCTTAAGTAAGTCAAATCCATCTATATAATCTACCCCCTCAAAAGCCTTTCTGTTACGTTCTTTCCACACAACCCAAAACATAATAAGAGGGATTATCTCAGCATGTTTTCTCCAACTTCCCATCCTCATCCAAGCCCAAATTTCGTTTTTAACCAAACCAGAAGCTACCCAGCTGATTCCAATAGTGCTTAGACCATTGATCAAAGCCTTGACACCACAAGACACCAAAGCAGGACATGATTGTAACTTTCCTCTGCTTTTTTACAAAAGTAGCATGCATTAA